CCACATCTCCGTCTGCAAATGCGTTCGGCCAAGGTACTTTCACGGCGTTGTGCTGACTTGGGCGACAGCACCAATGTAACGAGAAGGCGTGTTAGCTGGGAAAACGGTTATTGATCCAACTGAAAAACAACCCGTGTATGCGTTCAGTTATATCCAATCAATTCCTAACCGCGTGGCAGAATGATTCATGCCTCATTCTGTCGGTACGTACGTTGCCCATTCTTCCACGTGCCGTTCCGACTGGTTTCATCCGGTCGTAGCGCGAGATACTTTGATTGACAGCTCCGACGTTGTTGTATTCGTTGGATATCTTTCTGGCCAGATGCGGATGGTCCGTCGGGCTGTAATTGTCGATTCGTTTGTTTCGAGTGGTAGCCGACATTGTCTCGCGAAGTACTTCCAGCCGCTACCCCTGCGCATCTGGTTAGATGGGCCCTATTCTTGATCCGTTCGCTAGCCGGGGCTCTATTTGTACCATCTTTCATCACAATATGACTGACACATGGATTCACGGGTTCATTCAATCTCCTCTAAAGACCACGCGATTATCAGCCGAGGGCATAATGTTTCCAATGGGGAGAGGTGGAGAACGGTCAAACCCACTTCCACAATCTTCTCCATTCTCGCATTGTAACGCACTTTCTTTTGTTAGTGGAGAATTCGTTCATTTCGAATGACTGAGTGTGATCATGAGCCGTTATAAAGGGCTGTGAATATCCCGAGCTTTCTAGGGTGAAACCACTTGATCACTTGATCCTACTACTCCCACCTACATGGGGCATCGTTATTTAGAGTTGTTCGCGAGATGAAAATAGAATCATATTTACCGTGATTGCCGTTGGTGTTAGTGGTCTTTTAGCGGTTTCTGCGTTTTACCGCCGTTTCCTACCGGGTCGGATGCAATTAGAATGCTTACTTTCAACAGCGATCAACCTGCGCTCAGGCTTTTCCTAAAAGACAGACACACGGACTGATTTTCGGTCGTTGGTGTGATCTTTCGGAAAAGTCGATTCAGTGAATAGACAAAAAACCAAACGAAATTTCGCTTTGATTTGAGATGGGCAAGTGAGTAAATGCATGTGTATCAACGCTGAACTCCATCAAGATTTTCTCAGTCTTGGGTTAGTTTCCGTCAAGTGTTGTTGATACGATTTCTCTCCCTCTCTCGCCAGTGATTCCACATCGTGACCCTACATCCTGCACGAGTAATCCAACCTCTCTCATTAAACTCAACAGTAGAAATTGTTTCAAAGCTTGATGTTAATCGCCTAAAGCTTCCCGTCTAATTGCGCTCTTGCAACACTCGTAAGATGTGAACATTGAAAATCAAGAAATCTCTATTTCTCGCCCTGATCGATTGTTACCGCTCTACATTAGCACAATGTTTGTCCTCCATATAGCACGTTCTGTTATGATCTAACCTTCGATTTGAAATCATCTAATGGTTGACTACTGTGCGTTTCTAATTTCAGCTTCTTGTCCGTCATTCTCCTGTCTATCACTGCAACAGCTCCTGTTCGCCTGTTTGGGTTTAATAATACTGGATTTGCTCATTTGCGGACTGTTGTTTTGGATCTATCGTCGTCGAAATCGAAACATCAGGAACGCATCCATTCCCCGTCCGGAATCGATCGCCTCTTTAGCTCCACTACCCACCACCATTGCTTGGACGTTCCCAGTGGAAAAGAAACCAGTGTGCGGGTACAATACACATCGGACCGCCTGTACCGTCCCAGGTACATTCGCTGCCACGTCTGTGGGCAATCTCAGCGAAGCAGTAGATCATTGGGTTCATACACAGCTGCTTGATCAGGACAAAAGGATTCCATCAATCGGTGGCGTTCCGGGTCGGCAGCATCGGCTTGTGACTTGTGATTTATCCTGTCCACATGAGCTGGAAACATCACAACTGTTTCTCGATTTAAACGAGGGAAAGTACCATTTACTAGAGACTGGCAATGACATGTGCTTGAATCAAGAAATTATTTGATCTGTATCGGTTTTAAAGTATCGTTTTCGCATAGTTTTCACACTCTACTAACTCATTTTACTTAGTGATTATTTATCCTTTTTGGGAAATGCGATAAATTTGATCGCCAAAGCATTTTTCTTTGTTGGAGACCAATGGTTGGATGGGTTATTTTACTTGCTGAATACATAAAATTAGAGTGGAATTACTAATGCCGTGTGCTTAAATAAAAGCAATCACTGTGTTTTGATTCATTTTTATGCAGTCGGAAGAGAATGAAAATTTATTCCTATTTAAGTTGGGCATTCTTCTGGTTTCATGTGCACAAAAAATCCTTGGTTAATCCTGTCGACCATGTACTCAGGGAACACCAGACTAAAGTTTCACTGATGTCAGAGCTCATCGCTGTGGGTATGCATCCACTGTCAAGATTAGGATTTGCATTTCAGACTCTTCTCATGGAAGACGTGTGTGTGTGCTTCTATTGAGCCAATAGTCGATTGGATGAACTGGGGACTGTGCAGGAAGATACAATCGGAAGGATGGTCAGTTCAAATCAAAATCGATTGTCCTGCATCACGCTGATGAAGAACTTTCAGGTGTTTGTGAATACCAATGAAAACCTCAAACATATATATATATGCTGAGTGCTTGCATGCAACTAGGATAATCTGTTCTTGGAAAAAAGAACCCCCAAGTTCAAAAGTGGTGGTCAAATATCACTACTCCTCGATTTTCTCATTCAATGTGAATAATATCATATGAAATGAGACAAGGAGTACCTTTCAAATATCGATTGACTAGTGATAATAATGTATTATTTCTTTGCGTGTAAACATGCTTAAATTCCCATCGTCAAGCATGAGTAGGTGATGTTCAAAATGCCTCTTTTTACAATGAAATAACCTCAAGCTTGATGAGATCTTTGGAGGCTACTAGGTGCTCGCATCACACCATTTGTTTATAAACGTAGGATTCTCCGGAAGTTTCATTAGAAATTTATGTATCCCGAATTGTCCTATGTTTTTTGTCCTGGTCAAAGGGTCATGATTAGACTCGAACTAGGACAAACTCGCATGCCTTCTGTCGTGATCAATGTTATCGTTGCTCGGCGATTGGATGCGGTTGCAAATCCGACAAAAAGCAAAATTCTTAGTGCCTGCGAGGTATACGCCTGTTAATTAGTTTTACTAATCGAGTCTACTTATTCTAGATTTCAAAGATATTATTGTTCTTTAAAAAAGAGCCGACCTTCTTACCCGAAAAGTGCTGCTAAACAATTAACGGAAATTAAAGAATCTCCATATGAGATGAATCATTCTCACACTGACAGGAAACTAATCGATAAGGCCAACTGGGGTTAGCTTGTGCCAGCGTGTACAACTACCGGCCAATCATTTTCATATATAAAGGGACCAAGACTTGGTAGGTTCACGCCGCATACGACCGCCTATAGAACACCCGCTTGTGCAGTCCATATTTTCCCAGCTTTACAATTCCAAAAGTCCAGTGCCGGATTGAAGAGCGTCATATATTAAAGAAGTGCGTGGAACAGGGGTAAATAAGATTACACAAAACGAAACGCAGCTAATTTGGAACAGTATTAGTATTTTCGTGAACGTCTCCTCGTCGGTGACCACCAGTCTCACAGTCTGTTTGTCTCTTCTGTAGCTACAACAGCTAAATCCTTTAATCCACACGGGGATGCCGTGAACATCTAATCATCGCTTGCATGTGCGTCCACTAAAACTCACAAATGTGAGGAGTAACTCACGACACTAATTGACCGGCTTGCCAGCTAAAGGTTCATGATAAGTAATATTTTGTGCAATGTAAATCATAATCGTTTGATAGAACCTAGTGATTTGCTACCAACTAAAGGAAACATTTTTGCTTTCTCAATGGTCTGTTACTTATATAGCGCATGCACTTTGTTGTCCGGTCTAGTTCCGAATTACTTGAAATCGCGTGAATGGATTTTATATATGGCTGATTTCATTTGCAAAGGTGTAAATCATGTGTTTAAAAACCTATCGCAATATGTTCGGTGATAACTCCTTCCCATGGAATTAGCCTTCAATTCAAATGACCAACAATAACATCTGGCATTACGTTCATAAAAGCGAATGATTCTTATCAGAAAAAAACATTAGTAAATACTGGGAATCACAGAAATTTTCTGAGAGACATTATTCAATCCACAACAGATATTAAAAACTGAAATGAAGAATTAGGCACCCGAGAAATACAAAACTGTAAGGCAATTGGTTTAGGGAAACAAATCGTTCCTCCGGTGGAAAAATACTTCACACACAATCAAGTTAATGTTGCTTTCTGTGCATTGGTATAATTGTTTACGCCCATCCGTGAAAGTTAGGCAGATAAAACAGAGCTCTCAAT